ATGACCTTGGGTGACAAAGACATCAGGCCCCCAACACTCCTGAATCTCGCGTTCCTTACAATAATTCGAAGGATAGTGGGCGATGCTTCAACAGAAAACCGTGGTACCGATCGTGTGTTATAAGAAACCGACGGATCGTATGATTTGCTCAATTTCACATTGCAATTTATTTGTACAGTATCAGGGTAATCTTTCCAACTCGCTGCCATCGATCAACCCGGAATCAAAGTTGAAAAATTCGAATGCTTAACATTGTTGGTACAGTGAATGTAAATACATCACGATCGTTGACACAGCAAACATCACTGCGGCGGTCCCCATATTAGGATGCGTTTGAATTCCCGAACTGGTGGCGTGATTATCAATCCACGTTTTGTAATAATACACTGCGGTGTAGAGGTCGGGATAGTCGATCGTACATAGTGTGGCGTAAGAGACAATTCCGATGAGTTCACCGTACAAAATCAAAGGATCGCCAGCGTTCTTGCCCTGAAGGAGAAGAGTCTTCACATAAATTTGGGAAGGGTAGGATGATAGGATAGAATGTTTAGAACGAAGCGATAGTTGCGCGAAGGAAGAGTGCTTGAGCTATATGTAGAGAGATAGTAGTGTGAAAGAAGAATGCTTGCAATGACACCTTATCCATAAATAATCGACTCTCTTACGTGCACGGAATAGCGAAAAATAGAGGTGTTTAATATTTTTAACTACGATGCCTCCTTCCAAAAAAATCTAAAAGAATTACGAGTTAATAAACACGACGGGCAACTTCTACTGTAAAAATATAAATGTCATTTGATAACTTCGATAAAAAAAATTGGCACTTTAAACGTTATTTAATTTTTCAAAAATAGGTTTTTCGTTCAAAAAATCTGAAAAAATTCTCAGATATGTAACACTCTGGTTATAGTATCACAGATTTTTCTCGTAACATTTTGTGGGATAGAACGAAAGAAATGAAGTATTAAATGAAAATGATGTTTAGGTCGATAACTATCCTAACAATAGGGGTAGAGAGTTAAAACTTTGTCGAAATGGTCCTCCTAGGAAGCTCTTTCAATTGACGTATCACACGTTTCATTTCGTTCCTCTATTGAGAATTTGATAAGCGTCGCTCTAACGAGGAGAAACCAGCAATACCGGGGAATAAAACGTTTGTTTGTGAAAGGAGAAATAAGTGAGAAGGGAATAAGCGAAAAATAAGATATTACACTTACCGTGCATCTTTTTCGATATGAATCCTCCAATGCGCATATATTTCCTTCCATCACAGGCCAACACATTTGGCATGTATCTTGCATTATTAAGGTCACGTTTGTCTGGTACAACCAGGCATATAATTCAATCTGAAAAAAGAATTGTAAAATCTAGTTCGTATCGCGTTCGGTTACGTGCACAATATCGTCGAATAAGTGGCACAACCGGAGAGAAGCGAATCTACGCGAAAAAGTAAGTAGAAAATGAAGAGTAACATTTTTTCACGCGACGCTTCGTTTCTGGATAAATATCACTGCAAACTTTTTGAGTCTATCACATTAGATAGCGAAGAATAAACGATGTAACGAAAGTAACAAGCAATATTTCTGCTGGATCGATCATAATGGTAAAAATAAATTACAAAGCTTGGTAAATGGTAAAATACCTCACCCCAAGATTTCACACCAATACATTTTTATCTTATAGAGCTACAAATCTAGAAGACAGCTGGAACAGATAATTATTCTTGCTCTTGAACATTTAAAAACAGCAAATACTTGAGAAAACGCTCCGAAAAGTGTAAGTGGACGCGCGCTTTCACGAAAATTCAACGTCGATTTACTCGGAAATGAAGCTTCGTATGAAAAAATCTTACTCTACATTTACGACTTATTTCTTAACGTAGATTCATACGCGACATGTCAATAATTTCTCTGTAAATTGTTATAAAAATGTCGCGAGAACTTGTAAGTTATTAATTGCAATTTTTCGAAACCACTTACACTTTGCGTTAGACTTCCCCAACTAGTCACAACTGCATTTTGCTGCATAGGGAACAGGTAGGTAGCAGAAAGTCTGATTGGCTGAACTCGCTCATTGTATACAATGTCTTTAGCCACGCGTATCAATGCAATATCACCCCGGCTCGTCAAAATGTCATAATGCCAATGGCAAATCAGTTGATCAGCTGAATAAGTGTCACCACCACTTAATAAATACTTGTGCCCAGCCCTGACCGTGATATCTGACGGATGTTTCCTGCAAAATTGCTCGGTTGCACAATTACCAAGAAAATCGGAAATTCTTAAAAAAAAGACAAACTAAAGGAAGATGATTTTTTCATTCTTTAAATTACAAATTGTAAATTGCAATTTCATTTTTTACCGATTGAAAATCACTTTAGCAGCATTACAGGTGACAAAGTTGAAAGTAACGTTTTCGATAACACAGATGTCTGTTTCAGTAGTTGAAAATCGTCGCATGTCGACAGTTCGCATAGTAATATTTCTGCAATTTTACCAATCATCTCGAAACGATCGAACGTTACATTCGTACAATTGCGATAAGAATATGTTATATCAATTTCCCGATAGCGACATGTGCTATCGTACCTTCGATTTCTACCTGTTATTTTATCTCTAGTTAGCGAGTACCGTTAATTTCGTATCGTCGAAATATCGAAAATAAGCGTATGTATTTTGTAATTGAAAATAAAATTGAAAACAGTATCTTATTAAAAATACATTTCGATTGTTTCTTATTAAATATGTCTTAAATGATAAAGTCTTCTACTGTTTTTCAATATGGACGCTACTTCAGTTCTAACAAATTTTAAATAGACACAAATGTCAATACGAAAAATCTCGTGCTTTTCTTTATACAAAATTCAGTGACAATACACTGCAATTTTCGCTCGAGCAATAAGTACATAATTGAATGGTTTAGTGTTCGACATGTGCAAAGTGCTGATAAAAAAGCAAACCGTTGAAACTATCGGTCTAAAACCATTTTTCCTTTTCTAATCAACACTTACTGGTAGACACACTGTGCAGCAGTGAGGATGAAACGATGATTAATAATGGATCCGCTGCATATTGGAAAACCTTCCTTTTCGACTGACACTTGGTAAGGATAGTCCACCCATATCTCGATACCCACTGTGCCTAAAATCATAAGAAAACTACTAGCAACAAGTTCACTTTCGATAAAAACACCTGATGATTCTCTCTTGCGAATGATTTTACCGTTAGAATTCTTCGTAGATCTCGCGCGTAGATCTTCGAAAGTGAAGAATGAAAAATGGAGTTTTCGTTGGAACGAAGAAAACTTACCTCTGATTAGAACGTTGACTATTAGAAAGACAGCCAATGGGTGCATGTTAATAAAAATCGAAATGACAAACGTCAGTTTCTATTGCTCTGTGATTACGTATGTTCCCAATTAGTTGATCATAACGACTAAAATACGCTATGCGATAAAACCGATCTTTACTTATCTCGTGTTTTTAAATACTGTTTTGCTAAGTGCCTGTATAGAGGGGGATGGGGATTGTGCGAGAGCAATAAAATGCGAAGACGCACGGAAGGATTTAACGCTTTCATGCTCTTTCTTAATATGAACGGTTCTTTCAAGGTTGATGTAATATATCAGTAACAGTGTGATTAAGATTACATAAATTCGAAGATAAATTGTTTTCGTTGCAGATAAATGACGAATTTAGGTACATACAGATGATTCTTTGTGCAAAAATAAACGATAAATGTGGAATAAACATTTTTCACCGGTGGCTCAGTTTCCGAGAATATCGGCTCTGAAAATCCGTTGGACCTTACCAGTTTCAACAATTTTTTAATTGATATAATAAAATATTTATAAGACGTGATGTGGCGTGACTAACAAGGAGATCCTGAAAGAAACTCTAAAATGAAATTTATAGGGATGAATCTAGATATAGAAAAATGAAATCCCTTAGTTTTATAGACCTAATTTAAATTGTTTGTAAAAAATGCACATTGGAATGAAATGTTCCCACAGAATGTAACTTTTCGACCTCTAGATTCATCCCTCAAAATTTCATCAAAATCCCTAAGAGCTCAGCTGTAGGACTATGGGACTTAAGGCCCAAGACGCAGACACGCTCTCTGAACAGCGACATCTGGTGTCTAACTTTAACACCACTCCTTGGCCCCCCTCGAAAACGGGCCTCGGGCCAGAGGAATGTTTCAAGCGCGGGAGAGAGAGCTCTCCTGTGAAAAGGAGCGTTCAATCGTTGTGTCAAGTTTTTTATTTCTTCAACCTGGGAACAGGTTGAAAGTTCTACGGACGATAAGAACGATTAGATTAAAGGTAGAAGTTAATATAAGCAAGAAAACGTACACGTGCGAACTCTTATGTTTGTATTTATTTAGCGAGCAAATATTGAATCGATGTATTGTTCGATGTCGAATTTCCTGCATCTGATAACGCGTGTGTTATCTTGAAGATAAAATTCGTACTCATATCCTTCTTTATTAGTACGAAAGAGTGAAAAGTAACGACTTAGTTCGGTTAATTCCAAGAACAGTTTCCTGTTGAAAAAGTCCCTTCTTTGAACTTGAAAGTCCAGCTTTCAAAATTGATAATTATTTTTAATGAGAATGAAAGTAAAATAATAATTCTTTTACTCTAATAATTTGAAAATAATAATTTCTTTTACTATAAGAGTTTAATTTCAGAAATGCACACGAAAAATAATGGAAAGGCATTAAATCATTCTTTTCACCAGTTTCTACTTAATATTATTATTTAATACACCCTAACAGAATTTGTAACTGTATTAAATTATTCTATTTAATAACTTATAGTATAAACAATATTTTGTAAATAAATTATGAAAAAGAGAACTGCAATGTTTATGAAATCTGATTAAACCTTTATATCTTTATTTTATGCACCCAAGAATTCTTCTGTAGATGAGTGTCTCATAGTGATTAGCGATAATACCTGCAAAAGAGGTCCACTTAATTGAAAATGTAGCGTAATAAAAGTAAGAATCACATCTGAAGTGATTCATCATTTTCCATTTCAATTAATGCTATATTCCAAACGATGAATAATTATAATGGACGATACCTGATAATTTGGTAGCCCCGAAAACGTCCCCAAGATGTTAATAATTTTTGTGGGTGCAATAAGATATGGTCACGTGTAAGATTGTAATTTAAAAAAATAATCTTATTTGTAAGTACTTTTCCAGATCTCGAGATTAGTATGAATCGTTATATACAGGGTGTCCCAGGTCGAAATGTTATTCTGTTGTTTCCTTCGTTTCGTATTATTTAACGAAGCTCTAAAAGACTTCTGTTTGTATAACATTTTTTTTTTTATTTCGATCCATAGAATATACTGTCAACGTGTGGCCATTAAAACCTGGGACACCCTGTATATTGTTAGGAATTAAACCTTGCTGTGATAATTACCTATGAGCTTATTTCCATTTGAAATATTTAGTACTAACACTGTTCTGATTGATCTGCTATCACCGATGAAAGCGATTCCATGTAAATTTGGCTGTAATTAAGGGGAAATATCTACAAATATTGCATTGGAAGGGGGCTAATCTTATCAAAAAGTTAATCTACATTAAGCTAAAGATCTAAATACCGTTGATATTATATAAATTCAATTCGGCAGTGAATCTTGCCGCAATTAAGACCTGGTAATAAATATGATCTGGAATACGCTTTTACTTGCTGTCCTCATTTGCACCGGTAAGATTTACTTTTTCTTTCTCAAAAAATTCGTCGGGATAATTAGAAAATATCAACGTTTGTGTAAAATAAAAAAAACATAATTGACCTTGCAAAAGAAAACAGAGAATTATATTATTCATAATTTGAAGCTGTTTAAATTGCGTATAAAAATTTTCTCGTACCACCATAGTTAGAGTTTCACGTGGTTTTGTGATACAAATTGATCACAGCTTAAACGAACAGCTCGTGCAAATAAAGTTCATTTATAAACATTTTACAGTGTGTCTTCTCGAAGTGTGATTTAACAATGCTCTTCTGCTCTCAGTTTCAGGGCAAGATGTGGACGTAGAACACGTTATCGCGGGTTACGTACCTGGAATCAGTGGTATGGTACCAATTCCCCAAAGAGACTGTCTGAACAATGAAATTCGTTCGAATGGTTACTTGTCAAACTCCCTGGAGTGTGCTCGAACATGTAGGATAGGAGAATCGAGGATGTGTTATTACAAGTTCGTGGTTGAACGATATCCTGTTAATGGCCAGTAAGTACACCTGAAGAATATTAACCCTTTCGCTGCGGCAAGTTTTATTAGGTAGCATGCGTGATAGACGGTAGATGTTCAAATCTTTTGCTATGGCGCTTTCACGTTTTATTGAATTAAGGTGCAAGTGTGCAACGGGTAAAAGTTAGGGATTAAATTGAGGCGAAAGTGGGGCGAAAGTTGCTAAAAGTCGCAAAGCGAGAAAATTTTCGAAGCGCCTATAGGCACGAAGGGCACAATTAGAGAAAATATTCGAAACGCCTATAGCCTCCAAGGGCACAGCGCGAAAAAATATTCAAAACGACTATAGGTGTCAAAGACAGTGCGAGAAAATATTCACAGCGCCTATAGGCGCCAAGGACACAGCGCGAGAAAATTTTCGAAACGGCTATAGGCGCGAAGAGCGTAGTACGAGGAAAATTTTGAAAACGCCTACAGGGGCCAAAGACAGTGCGAGAAAATTTTCACAGTGCCTATAGGCGTCAAGGACACAGTTCATTAAAATTTTCGAAGCGAATATAGTCGCCAAAGACACGGTCCGAGAAAATATTCACAATGCCTATAGGCGCCAAGGACACAGTGTCTATAGGCGCCAAAGACACAGTTCATTAAAATTTTCAAAGCGAATATAGTCGCCAAAGACACGGTCCGAGAAAATATTCACAATGCCTATAGGCGCCAAGGACAGTGTCTGTAAGCGCCAAAGACACAGTGCGAGAAAATTTTCAAAATGCTTGTAGGCGCCAAGTTCACAATGTGAGATAATTTTCAAAGCGCCTATAGGCGCCAAAGTCACAGTGCGAGAAAATATTCACAGCGCCTATAGGCGCCAAAGACAGTCCAGGAAAATTTTCAAAGCGCCTATAGACGCTAACAGTAGTGCAAGGGTTAATATTGAAAACCTACAAAATTTCTTTGACAGTCGAATCAAACAAATTTTTCTATATCCAAAGCTTAATAAATTCATCATATTCTTTTTCTGTACGTTATTTCCACAAAACCAATTTTAAATATTACCCACGAAAAATCGTTCCCATGACTAATTGTAAGCTTCTATACTTACAGTTGCAATCTTACTGCTGCTATTTCTTTCAAATTAACAACAGCAACGTATCAGAATTTTCAATTTCAGAAAATTCAGAAATTTCAGTAATTTTTAATACAACAATTTTTTCCTTTTAGAGCATGCAACTTGTGCATGCCTAACGTTACCAACACCGTGTGCGCCAATTGCCAATGCGTTCCCGGGGACGGCACGCAGCGGATGGCTCTAACCGTGAACAGAATGTTGCCTGGACCAACTATACAAGTCTGCATAGGGGATCGTGTCGTGGTGGATGTTGTAAATATGTTGAAGTCAGACTCATTGACGATCCATTGGCACGGTCTATTCCAACAAGGTTCTCCGCATTACGACGGGGTTCCACATGTAACGCAGTGTCCGATCAATTTTCAAGACACGTTCAGGTGAATCCAATTATGTGGGAGATTTTAGAAGCAGAGTCGGAAGGAAATGTTTCGACAAATGTTTGAACAATTGAAATATTATGAAATTCTGATATTTGAATTTTTTTACTTCTGCAATTGCTATTACACATATTTTTATAGAAACTTTTAGCGATCGATGGCTTTCCTGGCTTTTTTGCGCTTATAAATTTGCAAATAGTTTGTAATCGTACAAATCACTTCATTCTGCAAAAAACTAAATTAAGAATGAGAAAAAAATATTTTTATCTATAGCGAACTGTGAAAATAGATAAAATTCTGATATTTATATTTCCTTATTTCTGCAATTGCAGTTACACATATTTTTATAGAAACTTTTAGTAATCAATGGTTTTTATAGTATAATATTTTAGCACTGATAAATTGACAAATAGTTTGCAATCCTATGAACTACTTTACTCTGCACAAAAATTTAATAATGAGCTGTTTTTAAAGACATTCACTTCCCAAAATAAATAAAACAAAGAGTTCTTCTTAATTTTCGACCTAAAGCTTCAATAACTTCAACTTTATTCAATAACTTCAACACTTTTACATAAAAGAAGCTAAATTTTTCGTAGATATCAATTTGACGTCAACAATGGCGGCACTCATTTATGGCACGCTCACACCGGATCGCAGAAATTGGACGGTATTTTTGGCAGTTTCATCGTTCGTGTACCGTCTGTGGAAGAACCGTATTCTCATCTGTACGACTACGATTTGGCAAGTCACGTGATTGTTATTAACGATTGGTTCAAGGAAGAATCTACCAATCGAATTCCAGGTCGAAGGGCTGGCGAGACTCGGCACACCGCTGAAGCGTTTTTAATTAACGGAAAAGGAAGATACGTTGTAAGTACGCCATTTTTTATCGAATTATTTAACAATAAAAATTCAAATTATTCGTAAACACTTTGCGGACAGAGGACTATGTGCCATTTCGAAGCAGGTACTGATTATTTGTGTAACACATAATTAGGTCACTGCTTCAGTTTTTTTTTTTCAAACCAAATTATATCAAAATTTTATAAAAATGAATTATATCAAAAAGTATTTTTATTGCTTAAAATTGTGAGTTTATTGGTTGCTTTCACAGTGCTTTGTGAACGAATATACATGTAAGTCTATCGTCCTCAAAGAGTTAGGTTAAAAGCTGTTCCATTTTTATTTTCAAGTTACTTCTGTGTTTTTATTGTAATTTTTCTATTCTGAACGATTCTGCCCACGATTTATGCTAATTTCACGTGAACCGTAGGATTCCAGTGGTACCACGACAAACATCCCCTTCGAAGTGATCACTGTCAGCGCTAACCAACGTTACCGTTTCCGTTTAATTAATTCCTTCTGCACCGTTTGCCCGGGACAATTGATTATCGAAGGACATAATGTTACTGTGATCGCGTCCGATGGTCAGCCTATCGAACCTGTTTCGGTTAATTCTATTATTTCCCTTGCTGGTACGGTGTTAACGGAAATTGATTATTAATTTGTATTTCAAATCATTCGATATCAACTTTTTTTTAATTTCCATTATTTCCTGTTTAATTTCTATATATTCTATGT